GGGGGCTGCGGCTGCCGTGAGCGTAACCAGGCAAAGTAGATCATGTTGATGTTACTGCCGCCGGCCGCAGGCCAGAGCTCGCCGCAGGCGGCCCCCGGCAGGGTCCCCGAAGGGATAAATCACAGACCAATGCCTTTCTCCGCTTTGCCTACCACTAGTTCAACTAGTTCAACATTTGGCATCAGAGTCTTGTAGGTGGGAATTGGGAGCTGACGGATAAGATATGGTTGCTACTTGGGACGATTTATCGGGGCTAGCTTAGATATCAAGGATGGTTTGCTACGTTTTTGGGGAGATAGTAAGTGTTTGTAAATATTACGTGTGCAGGATCTAGTTTTTGGAAGGGCTGCTTGAAATACTGAGCTTGCCCTGACATGGAACGTGCCAGTGCTGCGTGTGAATCACGCTGCTTTAAGATGTCAACTTGTAAGTACTTGGATAGAGAGATTGGTCGTTCAAGTTGGAATACTAATCGAGATAAAGATTAGGCATACAAGATATCATACAAGATATATATCGACTTTGGCAGGTACTGCTTTACAAGTTCCAAGTCCACCTCTAGGTGACGTCCCTGCAAGTCAACGTGACGCCTTGTTTCGTACTTTGCTCCAAAGTCTCCGAAGCAGGCGTACATGTGCGGCGGCGACGTCGACGAACAACGGCAAAACTAGGCAGGAAATGGTCAGAGTTCCGAGCAAAACGGGCTTTCAAAATCGCCAGATGAAACTCACATGGATACCCCGACAAGGGCGACCAAGACGGACGCGCCAACGCCGACAGATACCCCAATAACCTTGCCTGCATCTCCCGTCCACCCTCCCTGCTCGTCATCCGACAAGGCAAGTGGAGCGGTTGACGACGCGGCCGATGAGGCCGTTGACGACGTCGTCGGCACGTAGGACGAGGGCCTGCCAGACACGCCCTTGAGCGGCAGGGAGCCGTCCCCAAAGGCCTCGGCCGCAAACGCCGTCACCGCAGGGGCCGACCAGTCGGCCTTGGAGCCCGAGGGGACCGTGGCAGTGAGCGTCTTGGTCACCACGTTGCGGGACACCGTCTGCAGCGAGGCCGGGCAGTTGACGATGCTCCTGGACATGCAGGCGCCGGCCTGGTACGTGACCCCCGTCACCGTCGTGGTGGTGTAGTACCGCGGGTCGCTGCGCCGTGCGAGCCCCGGCACGGCACTCGCCGACGCCGTCTCGAGTTCCACACTGGTGACGCACGCGGCGGCCAGAGTGGTGTAGTACACGGGGATCTCTGTCGCCGGTGTCGGCCCGTACGTGTTGCCAAGCAGCGCGACGCTCGCGCCCGCCGCCGCGCCCACGGCAAGCTTGTAGCCTTGGACCACCTCGAGCGCGCACGACTCCCTGCTGCCGGCCGTCACGTTGGTCACCAGGTCGGCGACGTTGGCGTACACCCGGGCCTCGAGGCCGGCCGCGGCGCGGAGCTGCTCGACGGTGCTGTCCATGAGCGGCAGCGAGAAGCCCGCGCGCAGCTGCAGACGGAGAAGCGCCCTCAGGACCGTGCTGCCGCCCTCGACCGTGACGGGCAGAAACTCAAACTTGCCTCCGTGGCTGGGCGGGTTCTTGTCAGTCCCTTTGTTTGAGCCGGCTTTGTTTGAGCCGGGGTGGTAAAAAAAAAATGTCAAGGAAAGGGGCAAAGAAAACTCACATTTGGAGATTGGAGGATTCCTTGGCAAAGAGGGCGATTTTCATGAGTGCCTTTTTGTCGAGCTTGATGTGGAAGCCGCTGTTGATCTTGACGTCGCTTTCCGCGCTGAGAACCAGGTCCAAGGAGAAGACGGCCCCGAGGAGAAACCCGGGCCCTAGCTCGATGCCCAGCTCCTTGGACGAGTAGAGCGGCAGGGTGTACGTGAGGCCCGACGAGATGACGGTGCCAAGTGCCACGTATAGCTCTGCGTGGTCAAACTCGACTTCTAGCTCGTACCCGGGGAACTCGAGGTCCACGTTGAGGTTGATCTGCGGAGGCGGCAAGTGGTCCAGTTTGTAGGGAATGTCGGTGATGTCGCCCACCAGCGCGTCGGTGACGTTGTGCACATATTGGGTGATTTGGCGAAACGCGGCCTTTGCTTCGGTCTTGGCCTCGTTGTATACCCGCGTGCTGTTGAAGGTCCCGTTGACGGTGAGCTTGGCCCTGGCGGTGCCTTTGAGATAGCACTTGGCGCAGGATATTTGCACGCCCGCGGAGAGTGCGGCCGCCCCTGTTTTGCTGTCGTTTTGGCTGCGGGTTGGTTAGTTGGGACCTTGCCGAGGCGGTGTTGCGAAACAACTGACTGCTCGAAGAGCGTCTTGTCGATCAACGCGCTGTCCAGGGACGTCGAGTTGTCGAACAAGACGTTGGATTTGGAATTTCTCGCGACGAGGTCGAGACGGCGGCGGATCTCTAGAATCGTCTCTTCTGAAGTGTGCCCTGGCAGGTTTCGGACACTGAGCTCAGAGGAGCTGGCTTCTGCGGGGAGGGTAGAGAGCCATGTCAGGAGAAGAATCGGCGGCCACTGCATTTCGTGTAGCGCTGAGAACAAGACGGAAGACCTGGTGAGCTGGCGATTCGTTCACCTTGGTGGGGGATGCTCTGGATTTAAACTAAGCGCCGAGTTCGCCAGCTTTCTGGCCTCTATTGTCGAATTCATCTTGCAACTTGGTGATGTGTCTACCGCTGATATTAGCACATGCATGTTGGCTGCTCGCGGCGACTACTAGCGCTGTCGTCGTGCCCAGCCAAGAACAGAGACAGGAGCACTGATCACCACTTGGCTCTGGAGTTGGCATATGCGAATCTCGGAGTCGTCCGTTGTCTGCCCAGAGATGACCAGACGGAGATGCGTGGCCCGAATCTGCACGTGAACGCATCCGAATATACACGCAGTAGCCGAAAATGCCAAATAGTAGGCGGCAAAGGACTTTACGGCGGAATCGGCAGAGCTGTTGAAAAGAGTTTCTAGAACTACACATGTAGTCTTATGGGTTAAGAATAGAGCGTACAGCCCGTACACGCGCTATGGCCGACGAGGTGCATGTTTGGCTGCAGCACAACGAAGCCGGTGTCGGTTGGGCATGGATCCTGCTGACCAACGGGTTAGTATGAGCAGCAAGGCCGTGGTGGCTGGTATTTTGAGAATTATGACAAGAAGCGACTTGAAGGCTTATCGACGCAGATTTGGCCCGGTTGACAAGACCCCAGCAGAGTTGCGGCTTCTCATCACCGGGCCGTAAAGCAGAGACACGGCGGTGAGCCTTTGCTTCACCTTTGCGAGGTCGTCACGCCTTCTTGTAGGACTTGTTGTATCCCGGTGCCAGAGGGGCCTTGCTTCTATTTACGTCGCAGCATGCATCGCGAGGGCGAAAACAGCTGCGCTGATTTAGAACGGGTTGGTGCATATTCGACAGGCAATTATAGCGGTTCGCAACAAGGTTGTCAGTGAGACGGCAGCGTCCCAGTCTTCAAGGCACATCTTCAAATTGCCAAAATAGAAGAGGAAACACGCACGGCCCACGGCCGAAAATAGAGACAATGCTGGCTCGCACGCTGCCGACAACCAAAACACCGCAAACGGCCATGGCAGCGCGGCAAACGAAAAATCGACAGAAGCTGCGGCCAATGGAGCGCAGACCCGTGCTATCGAGTCTACAACTGATGCGGCGCCTGCAGAAAATATCCCTCCATCTGCTCAATCGCCGGGACCGCGCCTACGCAGCACTCGAAGAAGAAAGGCCGTATTTACTGAACCACTACGGAATAGTATCGCAGGAGGTCTAAGCAGCTGGTATGTGTTGGCCGCCCTTCATGTTAGTCGGGCTTGAGGCTCACATCTTTGGGATATATCCGCAGTCGGCGAGTCCAACGCGCCAGTACCACAGACTCGCCAAGGCAAAGCTGGATGCAGTTATTGAACAGGGACTCAAACGAGTGGAGAGCACATAAATAGCATTCACCGTGAATGGCCATCGTAAAGGCCAGAGGTTCAAAAGATGAAAGGCGGAATAATTAGGCACACTGTTGGTTTCGGATGGACCACGGGCAAAGTGTTACTTTGTATCCATAGTATGCTTTAAGCTAAAATAGAGATAACTAGTATAAAATCAACTGAAATAGCTATATAAATAGTTTTAGTCATCTCCAACACGCACGGCTCTTGGGTTAGCATGGCATCAAGGCCTCAAAAGAAAAAATCATGGAACTCGCAGCTTCCTACAGGCGGGGTAGCTAGGAGGACAAATGCTGGAGGCAAAGGGTCTGCAAAACTTTCTAGAGTCATTACCACAGCGAAGCCCACTGGATTCAAGTCGCCGACATGTCGTCCGATAGAAGACGGCTTCTCTGTCGGAATAGACGTCCCGTCATAATGGCCCATATGAACCCGAACTGTGGCACACGATACCAACAAGTAAAGAGCGCTTACTACAGATGTCATTCTCGCTAAATCCGACGGCCCCCATCACCACTGCCTTCGGAGGCGCAAAGATGTACCTGGGCGTCATGACCATCATGTCGATGCGTCGCAATGATTGGATTGGTCTGGGGTACGGGCACGTAAGCAGGACCAGACCCCCCCCCGATATGCCATGGCACCGGTGTCTTCTCTCGGGCGGGTTTCTCTGTGTCCCAGTCCCGGGTGCCCGGCGAGGAAATCCCCATGGCTCTAGGCTTTATGAGCTGTGCCCACGTGAGCGGCTCGGTCATTTCCCTCTCCATTGTCGACACACGATGTGCAGGCCATGATTTCGGGAGCGAATAGCACACTTCTGGATACGTTGCATGAGGCCTTGGGGACGGGAAATATGTGAGGCTGGCTGTGGCGGCGAAGCAGCTTGATCACTGGAAGGCTCTGTCTTCGCTTTTGTCAACCGCGAGGCCTGCGACATTGCTCTAACCTGGCTTCGGGAGCAGGTGGGTTGCAACAATTCACAGCACGAGGATATTTGGTTAGACAACATCGTCGTCGGCAGGGCATCGAGACGCGTCCTCAAAGAAACGAAGAGTGCCTCTTCGCACGCCCTTTTAACCCCTCGTTTGATGCCTTGCATGTCACGCGCGATGAACGGGACGACTTCTGCCTCGAGGCTTCTGATAGATTGTTGTGCAAGAGTCGCAGAAACCAAGGACTTTTGAAAGTCAAACTATGAGATGGATTGAGCCACGTTGTCCTAAGCCCTTTGTCAAGTCCCTACAAGCCATTGTCACAGATGCCCTGGCCAAAGGTAAAGACTCAAAATGGCAACCCCACCGGTGATGCGACCTGGGAGGTTATGGTCCATCTTTGTTCGTTGACTTGGAGGGCATCAAACTGAGACGTTTCGGCTGTTTCTCTCTTTTCAGTCCATGTGGCACCAACCGAAAGGACATAATCATTGACATTTTCAAGTTGGGAGAAGAAGCATTCACATGCAACATTAACAACAGGGACATCTCTCAAAAGTGTACTAGAGTCTGAAAATACTCACAAGTGTTTTTTTGACATGGAAAACGACTCCGGCGCGCTATTCAGCCATTATGGCATCACGGTGGGTGACGTTAGAGAATTGCAAGTCATCCAACAGGCCCGAGCGCGGTCAGTGGAAGGTGCAGGTTATTGTCTTGTAAAGGATGATGCACAAGATCAGATCAGATCAGATCCATGTCAGATGCTTAGCCCAGGATTGGGCCGGGTCAATGTCGACCCCACACCCACTTGGAGGGTCAATTGGCACTCCGTCATGCTGCATCGGACAAACACGCTGACCGCGTCGTCAAATCTACGACTCGACCCCCCCAACGTGGTCACCATCGCCACCCGTGCCGTCTTGACTTGGGCGTTGCAAAGCTGATGGTTTCATTCACCCAGTTGCCCACGTCCACTTGCGCGCGCAAAAGACAATCGCACAACCGCGCTGGCTTCCACGCCTCTCTCTCGCTGCCATGGCGCGGAGCGTCAAACGTCCGCGGCCTGAGCCGCACGCTTTTCACCAGCTCGGAAAGCAGGGTCGGTATGTTGCATCCTGACGAAGCGCTCTGGAATTTGCTCTTGCGTTTCCTTCAACTAACGCCCTCTTCAAAGGAAAACCGGCATTACGCTGCAAGATCGAGGCGAACGCGACGAACACGGCATGCAGCCCATCGATTCCATCTTTTCGCCCCACGAAGCGAAACCTGCCTCGGCCGACGATGCGTCTGGCGATTCTGAAGGCGCAGACATGAGTATTGCGTCTAGTAAGTATACCCGTAGACACGACTGACGAGACTGAGTTGCAGTCGCTGACATTTGCCTAGGCAGTGGTCCAGGGCCTCAGACGCTGCTCAAAAACCGACACAGCATCACATATCCCATTCCAAAAAGCAGGTCTCCCATCAAGACCAAGCTGAACTCTCCCGCCAAGAGGAATCCCCATTTGGAGTTCCCTTCGTCGCCCTCGCGCAGCACCTTATTAGACGACAACACGGTTACGCGAAAAATCGATTTTGCCGCCCACTCCAGCAAGCCACGACCGTCGACTGGGAAGGACTTGGGAAACGGCTCGAAAAAACCGTCGAGGCCGTCTCTCCTGCAGTCGGAAGACGATGAAACGAATCCACCTACAGACCCTATACTGGGACACCAAAACGACCCGACAATGTCAGACATGGTGGAGCAATCCATGCAACTGGTGAATGCTATGCACAGCGACAACTTTACGGCAGCAGGATTCGACCAAGGGCCGGACGATTTGCCGCCCGCAGTAGGCAACGACGACTTTCCAGAAGAGGAGCCACGGCTGCCATCTGCCAAGCCATCACCGGCGAACCCGTCGCCAATACAACAACCCCAACGAAAGCCTCCGCCTCAACCTCAGCCTATACCGTCGATTTTCGGAACGAGAAAACGGCCATCGCTGGAAACAGTTGCAGAGGGAGGTGAGTCTGAGAAGGACAAGAGGGAAGGGGAAGAGGAGGAAAGACGGGAAAAGCGGCAACGCACGAGTATGCCGCCGCCGCCACCACCACCGCCACCCCTATCAAGGCCGAAAGCTGCAGCATCAAGAGAGACTACTGCACCATTAATTCCGAAACCCAAACCCCCTGTACCCAAGACAGAGGTCAAACCAGTTAAGCGCGGAAGAGGGCGGCCTAGGAAAACCGAGCGACGGACCAAACCGGCAGAGCAAGACGACGAAGGCGACGAGACCATTATGGAAATACAACGCGCCCCGCCCATGCCAAGGTCCAGAGGGTTGGTGTCCGTCCGAAATGAAGCCTCCGACACCCAGACGCGATCAGGAAGACGGTCGTTTCGACCCCTGGAGTATTGGCGAGGCGAGCGAGTAGTCCGCGGTGAAGAAGAGCAGGCACAGGACGCAGATGGCGTCGAAACTGGCGATTTTCTCTTGCCGTCCACCAAACAAGTCATACGCATACCCGAAGACGCCCCGCCGTCCAGGCGCGCACCCAGAAGCAAAACACGAACCAAGGCCAAGTCAGTCGCGGTTGGAGAGGCCGTGCAGGAAGACGAGGAGCTCGAAGAGTGGGAGATGAATGACGGCACAATCTCGGGCGACATTGTGCTCTGGGAACCCGAGCACGAGTTCAACCCACCAGCCGACGCGGACGAAGTCCAAATCGCAGAAGATCGACTCGCCATCTCGGCAGATGCCATTGAAACGCAGGACATACCCCTGGCCACGTTTCGCTTCGCCAAGACGCTCACACTGCCCTTTATGGGCGCCGGCGTGGTAGACCTGCCCCCGGGCGCAGAGAAGCGGCCCAAGAACTCGCGCAAGATGCACATGGTGTTTTTCGTGCACTACGGAAAAGTGCTCGTGACCATTAACAAGGAGCAGTTTCGCATATCCGCCGGCGGAACGTGGTTCGTACCACGGGGTGAGTTATGAGTACCAGTACCGCTTGTACCGTCTGTTTTTCGTCAGGGCAGGTTCTAACCACTCCACAGGCAATTATTACAGCATAATGAATGATTACGAGGTTCCCGCTCGCATCTTTTTCGCTCAGGCGTGCGAAGTGGCTCCCCCGCTGGAGGAGTAGTTACTTGGGGGAAATCATGAAAAACACACAAAAACATGACCAACATGTATATATCGTGGCTGTGTTTCTGGCATGTTGGCGTTGCGGGGGTCAAATACCATGGATTGGCGTTGGAACTGGGACTCATACGCATTGATGAATACAACTTGCTGCCTGCTTCAATTTACCAGGCTGTGATTTGCCGTGCAAGGTTTATCGTTACGGCTATCCACTGGTTTGGATACGAGATACGTGCGGTTCTGGATTGGGATATTTTTACATTGAGAGCCGTCGCAAGAGATGGCAGCAGTGGGATATAGAATGAGCAGACTTGTGTAAACGTACATTGCAATAACAAGAGGTATCTGGCGCTGCCAAAAACAAAAGGGGATCTTGTGGTACACTAGTACTCCTCCACCAGCACCTTCTTCAGCCCAACCATGTGCTTCTCCAACTCGTCAATCTTGCGCTGACTGGCGTCGAGCTTCTCCAGCAGGTACGTCACCCGGCCGGCCGTCTCGAGCGTTTGTCGCGGCAGCTGTCCCAGCAGGGAGAGCTCCGTCTCCACGGCGTCAATGGTCTTGGCTTCCACTTTGGCCATTTCCTTCACGATGGCCATGTCCATCTTGGCCTCGAGGACGCGGTCTCTGACGAGGACGGAAAAGGCAGCCTGGTGGAGGGGCTTGCCGGCGCTGATGAGCTTGGGGCGGCCCTGGTGCGACGTGAGGGCGATGAGCTCCGCGCCGGCGAGCGCCTCGAGCGCGGCCTCGCCGTCGGCGGCGCTGCTCGACGTCGACGAGGCAAAGGCTGGCGAGAGGAGGACCTGGTGGTAGCGCAGGGACGGGGCGTCGGCGAGCGACTTGATGAGGTGCCATGCCTGTTCGGCGGACCACTTCTTGTCCGACTCGGTCGTCTTGCCCATGAGGAAGATCTTGACAATGTCGGTGGCCGTCTCGCTGACGATTTCGTCGACGGCTTGGCGCGGCGTCTGGCCCGCCTTGATGCGCCTTGACAGGAACTCCAGGTCCGTCAGACGTCCGCCGAGGGTCTCAATGCACTCGTCCAGGCCTGTGAGGTCCATGCGTTTGGCCGTCTTGTCTCCATCCCCGGCAGATGCTCCTGCACCCTCGGGGTTGTCTTGGGCAAGCCTGCTGGTGACAAAGTTCTTGGCCACCCTGTGCTCCAGGTCCCCCAGCGACAGCGTGCGGAAGACGCGGTCGGGCATTGCTCTGGAGAGCGGCTTGGAGTAGGAAGAGTCCGAGGTGAGGAAGACGACGTGGGCAATGTTGTTCTGAACAAGGGAGGCTGCCCAGTCGGCAATTTTGTCATACACAATTGTCATCTCCTCATTCTTGTGCAGAAAGTTGTCAATGACAATGACTGGTCTGTTCTCGGGGTGGGCTTCCAGGTATGCGTCTTCGGATAACTGCGCGTCCTTGTCGCGTTTGGACCGGGACGACAGCCCAATCTGCTTGAGCGCGCCCGTCGTGGTGTGCAGGATTTTGCTCACTTGGGTGTCCAAGGTTTCCGAGAAGCCTGCCTTGACGCCGGTGGTGCTCTGCACGGCCAAGTCGATCAAGCTGCTCATGCTGTTTGCCCACGAAAACACGGGCCGATACCCAACCGCACCCGCCAGTCGCTTGATGGTGCCGGCCTCGCCACTGGCATCCACAATGGGCTTGCAGTCCACGAGGAGGACATTCTTGCGCCCGGCCAAGGCCTGGTCCATGACCATTTCGATCTTGCCCGACCCTCTGGGGCCCGTAATGACGATGAAGGTGTCTGAGCTGCCATCGAGCCACTTTTGGAGCCGGTCAATGAGGTCGCGTCGGTGGTTCCATACCGTATTGAGGCCGTCCATGTGCCTGCTGCTTCTGAAGGAGAGACTGTCCGTCTGAGACTTGAACCACTTGTACAGTCGCGATTCGGTGAACCTGAACGAATGGGACACGTGGAGCTTGATGAAAAAGGTGCGAATGGGGTCGAAAATCATGACCGAAGCGCCAGCCAACAGGGCGGCGAGAATGGGGATAACGATGCGCGGGTGACTTGTCAGCCAGTTCCATATGCTGTGCGCCTTGACCCTCTTGACGTACGACAGTCGGAGGAGAGTTCCAGACTTGCCGCCGCCCATGGACTCGGTGACGACGAATCCATGCATGCAGTTTCGGGCCATGATGGCGTCGCTCAATCTGGGGAAGCCAATGTGGGCGTATTTCGGCACGACCTTGGAATCAAAAGGCTGGGGAAGGATGTCGGCAATCTTGCCGTAGCGACGAAACATGCTGTACAGGCTCTCCTCGGACAGCTCTTCGGCCGTTGCGCCAGGCTCCGGCGGCACAAACTCGACCTTGAGAAGACTTGAAGGAAATCGATATAGATCTTCGAGCCATGGGGTGCCCTTGACGAGACGGGCCTTGATTCCCCGAAAGGGGCTAAACCATGGCTTCAGCGGATGCTGCTCGAGCTTTTCCAAAAGCGTTGCTGAAATTTGACATGATGAGCAAGAGTTTCAGATGGCGCATCATGAAGGAATCTTACACTCGATTTCTGATGGACTGATGCTCGCGTCATATTGGACCTTTACAAATGCCCCTCCGTCTTTTAAGCGTGGCAGAATCTCAGTCACCTTGATAGGCATGTCCTCGGGAATGGCCCTCTTTACGAAAGCAATTGGGTCCAGGCTGGCGCCACCGCTGCCAGACGCGCTGTAGAAGCGGCGCAGCAACGCCGTCATGTCACCATCAGTCTCTGTGGGATATCTCAAAAGAGAGCTCAGCTTCCTAGGGAAGATGTCTGGTCCAAGCAAAATTAGCCTATATACGCAATTGGGCGGTTACACAATATGCTTACTCTCAAAGAAGAACAGCGACTCATTGGGCTTTACATCGAAATGGCCCGTCTCTTGTTCCTTGTTTGCAGATGACGATGAAGGTGAAGCGGGCTCAGACGCGGGTGAGGACGGAAATGGGGTCGCAGGAGGCGTGGGAGGAACAGCCGTGCTCTCCCAAGCTCGGTCTGCAGGTCTGCGAAGAAAAACATGACCGCCTTTGCGCCAAGCAGCGGTGCCAAGGAGAGGTTGTCTGAGTGAAACCGTTGATCGCACGATGCCAGGATACCTGGTCACCGTGGCCAGGCTCCGTCTGGGAATCATTGCACCGGATTCACGCACAGCGGGGTGCTGTCCCTGTGAGTGTCGCACTCGGAGATGTTGACCGGGTTAATCGCACTCTCCAACCATATGCATGGTAACCGTTGACGGAGAAAGTACCGAGTATATATTTACAAAGTTTAGGGTTCGCGGATGACGCTTTGGCTCCGTCAGGAGCTGACTGGAAGCTAGCTAGCCAAGCTCCACCGCCAATGAGGTCATCAGGTCCGCTGCAGACGGCACGATTGAAGATAAGATGTAGCACGTGACTGTTGGTGAGTTACTATCATCATCTAGGTGAAATTTCTGCAGGATGTCGCATTCAACAAGTCCCTTGCAAGATGTATCTGGGCATTGACAAGAATGTACTAGCATTTCGCAATCATACGTTTCCGAGGGATCGCCTATCTAATCTGCTACTGGTCTTGCTGCTGTGCTCATTGTTGGGCCCGTCATCCATCCATCTACTGATCCAGTTTGAAATATGTTCATATCATTTACCATTGGCTGTATTGACTGCATCGCGAGGCGAGAAAGATGCCGTTCAGAACGCGTAGACAAAGCGACAAAGCAGCCTCGCTCTCGGACGCATCAAGGTTGGAAATGCATGGTGTGGTCCGACGAAGAAGGCGACACTTGTAACTGAAATATTCTCGCCGTTGGGCTGACAGCCACCCCGAGTATGGCATGTTTTCGCCCAGCGCGGCCTACGCAACATCAATGATTCTCCTACAGGGCGGAAAAAGACGAGTCTTTTCACGCTGAAGCTACCATCAGGCACAAAGATATTGTGGCCACGTCTACCTCATTATGGTCAGACTTTGAAATGAGCAGAGAAAATAATACACCAAGGAATGCCCAATCTTACGCCTTGACAGCACTCATGATTCGTATCCCATATCTCTTCGTACACCTTTCCTTCTCTCTTCCTCCATCCGCCTCCATTCGTCATCACCAACCGTGGGCGCATCCACCGGCACATTAAACGCAGACCCCGGCGGCATCTTCTCCGTCCTCCTCTCCCACACGTCCTCACTGCTCGGCTTCCCGTCGCCGTACCTCCTGTACGCCTTGTTGCGGTAGTGCGTTCTGACCATGTTGGCCTTCAAGTCCCCCGTATAAGATTTCGTGCGCATGCAGAACCAGAAGTCGTCCCAGTGTTCGCTGCAGGAGCGCATATTCCCGTAGCGGTAGACCGAGTTGAATTGGCCGCCGAGGCCGTTGCAGCTCCATGCGAGGTCAAAGGCTTGTCGGCAGCTCATGTCCGTGGGGAGGAGGGACTCGGAGAGGGCGTCGCCGATGGGGGCATCGGGGACTTGTTTGTCGGTAGACTTGGCCGATGCTTTAAGGGCCAGCCAGGATGTTATAGATGAAGAGGATTCGTTTTCTGATAAGGGAGTGGACCGTTGGTTGGTTGATGGCTGCTCGGGGTCGTGTTTAAAGAGGTCAAAGAACTTTTGGATCTCTGGGTCGACGGGTTCGTTTGGCGCGGCCGATTGCTCTGTTGGTGGTGCTGGGGCGGCCTTCTCCTCAGTGGGAGGTTTTGAAGATGATGACCAGAGCCAGCCCATTGTGTTTGATTTGGTTGTTGGGGGTCGTCGGTGAAAGAAGAATATGGTGTTTGGTGTCGGCTCGAGAACCTAGTAGATGTGGATTGTATCGATGGATTGTCGACCAAGGCGTTGGTGACGTTGGTCTGTCTTATCAATGGCAAATTTGAATCGCAACGGTTGCGGCGTCGTAGTCCGAGTGAGGGGAATCTTGTTCGCAAAACGCCTGCAGCATCGACTGCTAATATGCACGCGACTGTCCAATAATATTCACCATGGTGGTTACATCCCTGTGGTGTTCGAATGTTGCTTTGCGACGGACAGTCCAAAGTGCGGGTTAACTGAATCGCCGGGGCCGGAGGTTGAAGAGGCGTCCGACGTTCAGCACCCAAGACTCACATTCGATTGAATAAACGCAGCTCTCTGACGCTGGCAGGTGTCTGGGGGTCGTCTCAATGACAACAAAATGACCATCCGAGATGCAACAACTTTGTGCTACGCAAGACTCCTCAAACTACACACAGTAGCACATACAAAATGACGGCACCCAAATCGCCCACACCAGTCATCATCATCCGTCCGGCAAACTCCACAGATCTCCCCGCCATCAAAGCCTGCTTCCAAGAGTACACGGACTGGCTCGACCAAGACATCTCATTACAATAACTTACTACTCGGAAGAATTTGCCAATCTCCCCGGCAGATATGCCCCTCCGACCGGGGGGCTCATCCTCGCCGTGGATGGACCTTCAGGCGATGTTCTGGGATGCATTGCGTTTCGGGCGCTCAACCTTGACGACGACTGTGTACATTCATGGCAAGGAGGTCTCCGCTGCTGCGAACTGAAGCGTCTATGTGTATATCCGAAAGCGCGAGGGCGCCAAGTCGCCGAAGCTGATCCAGGAAGCCATCAAGGCCGCCGCGCAAATTGGCTACGACGAATTGTTTCTGGATACACTGCCCAAGTTGCAGCCAGCCATCGCGCTGTACAAGTCGGAGGGTTTTTGTTTGACGCAGCCATATTATTTAGTCCGCTGGACGGGATACTTTTCTTTTCCGGCCCTTGAGGACAAAAGACGCGGAACACGGAGAAAACACGCCCTCATGTCCCTGAAGTTGATGCAAAAATATGTCGACCCGTTTTGCTTGTCTGATGTGGTGGCTCCATCGAGGCTCAATCCAAACCACAACGCATCCAGCCAGAGTTCGACACCATATATTACCCAAGTCCCTTATAGTCTGTGACACCATACATTTGCTCATTGAGAAGGATACACTAATTTGCCGGAGGACTACAGTATAGAGCGCGATAGCCAGGTATTTGGTCAAATACTTTTTGCCGTCCAATTTATATTGGCCGAGGTGTGTTAGCACCACATACGTCGCGTTGGACGGTTTGCCGCGCGAGTCCGAGCACGAATAAAGTCAACAAGTAGTTGCACAGAATCATTGCATGGCACATCAACACACGGTTCCCGTAAGAAGCAGCATCATGTGTCCTTGGCGAAATAGGGTTAGGTGTTGATAACCCAAGTATTTCTAAGCCCGCAAAGTATTCGGCAACTTGGCCTTATCACCACGTAGCGTACGGAGATGACGGCCACAAGGCATAATAGGCCACGAAAAAGTCAAACCTCTTGGAAATCAATAGTGGTATAATTACAAACTCAATTCTTCCATAGCACACTACGATCCTAGCCGTGGTTGGGCGGCGTAGGGTAGGCCACATGATGTCGCAATTATTGAAGCATGATTTAGGGTTACGGCATCCAATGCTGACCAGGGAAAGGATTTGGAAGAACCAAGCACAAGGCTAGATTGCGGCTGTTGTAATTTGTCCCTAGAATGGGACTCGGCGTTTACATGTGCTCCTTTGTTGGCAACAAGTGGCCTGGAATGACATTGCCACCTCTCTTCTTCGGGACCCTCGAAGCTGTCGGCATTGGCATGCTAGCACGGACCATGCACAATAAACATGTCCCTAGCATATTCGGAATGATGGCATTGACGGGCGTTGGCATCGGACTGCGATTCATGGTTGCGCCTCTTCATGGAATCGGCGCTCATCGGGCTGATGGCTATCGCTGCCCCATTTGGAGGAACCATTGGTCTGACGATAATGTCGACCGTCTTCAACAATACTTTGGGCCTCGATGATAAGCATGGCGACTTTTCAAGATCCAAGAACCGGGCGACCTTGGAGATGAGCAGCGTCCACGATGCCAAGGTAAGAAAGCTTGCCTGCTCTTTGCCATGTCAAGAAAATAATGGGCCGGCGCTGAACATGGCTTGTAGATGGGGGTTGTGTGGGCATACGTTGCCATTGTTCCCTTGATGATTGTGGTGAGTATGACTCCATTCCCAATTGTCATGGCAATCGAACAAACGGGTGTAGTCCTATCTGCTTCTTGTTCCTCGGGGATGTAAAGCTGGAAACCAGTCAGCTGTTGACGACGACGAAGCCAATACAAATATAGTTTTTACAGAACCATACCTGTGGAATGTGATCAGAGGGAAGACCGCCCAAGCTGAGGAAGTGGCCATTCGGCTGGAGAGCTCGCCCGGTAGAGACGACCCAAAGGGACGACCTGAAAGGCGATGGTGTAGTTGGTTAAATATAACTAAAATAGTTGATAACAAAATAAACTTGATATGTTTTTGCGTGGAGGGTAAGATGCTTGTTGAAACCAACTACCATAGCTAAGAAGCTCATAAAGGGGCCAATCCAGCATGCTGGCAGAGATTAATTAGCTTCCACACGACCCAGTTGACCAATTCTGGGACGTAACAGACGCCGGCGGCGTAAAGCAGCTTTCTAGATTGAAGCTGCCGTAAATGGCCCATTGAAAGAGACCAGACGGCATTGACTGGTTGCGTGATGGCTTACAGTGGGAGGCGAAAAGACCTTGACCAGATGAGGTACCCGGCTATCGCGCTCTATTAAGACATGGATGTACTGTTATATATTGGTGCGTACGGAGCACTTGGCGGGCAAAGATATTCTGCGACGGACTGTAGCTGATGGAATTCGTCGTTTGCAAAAATGGAGGCTGTCAATGCGCCCCACTGGTTCCACCCGTTGCCTCGTCAGGTTTTGAGCTCAAGATCGTGAACTTTGTTGGTTCATCGACGTTGGGCAGTGAAGGTATAGAATAGGTAGGTTTGGATGGATCGACTTTGGGCCGTGTCGCACCATCCGCCAGCTCCGTCGCAGTTTTCTGAGGATTCCAAGAAACATTAGCATACTGCCTGGGTATATTTGCCTATCATCAAGGATACATGAGATGCCGCAGTACGTCAAGCATCTGCTTGGTACAGTATTTATTGGCTCCTACCGCATGCTACCTAAGCGTACTACGTAGACAATAGTGAAGCTGGCGGAGTCTGCGGTCGACTGCATCAACACGGTCATGATCAGGCCATGTTAAGTTTTGGAGGCATTTCTCTCGTTCAGTGTCTCCGTAGTGTTTCGCGATCGAGCTTCACATGATGTAGCCCGGGCCTGCGACCAACAAGGCAGTACACTTGCGACCGATTGACGTATGTATTACGCTCTTTCAACTCGGCTGTGCTCGCAAAAGTAGAGCGTTTGAGATTCTTTGTCGACTCCAAAAATTGACCGCCACTTGATGTCATCCAAAGCTCCCTCCCGAAAATTCCATGAACTCGATGCGGGGCAGCGGCGCATGTAAACGCAACCCGTTCTCCTTCTATTTACACAGTGACAGATCGAGTACCTTGTACACCCATCTCTGCCAGCCCCGCCCTTTGTCAAGTTCAAGATATTTTTTTCTCTGTTTCCAGCCCTGGAGCAGGCTAGAAAGCGCTAGACGCAACCAACAGCTACCCCTCCCCCCACTGTGGCCCGACATGATTGGGCACAAAGTGCACCACTGCCCGTGAAGGTGCTGCAGCATTCTAGCACCCCCTGCCAGGTTCGAGTGGGCTCCGGCGCAAGCCTTGGAACAGAGTGGAAGCTCATCGAAGCATCCCACTTTGGTTTATTTATCTACCTCTCACATTTTGCTCGCAGCTCTCTTCCGTCTTTATTTTCATTTCATTCTTCATTTCCTGCATCCTCTCTACATACTCTCTTCACTCCATTGTCTTTTTCAAATCCAATCAGACTCATTGATTTGAATTCACACACCAAGATACCCGACTCTTCCCCCCCCGCTACACTCAAATCACAACTGCCAAAATGAGCGGCAAGGTCACTGCTGTTGGTATCGATTTGGGCACCACGTACTCGTGCGTTGGTGTCTTTGACCAGGAGAAATGTGAAATCATTGCCAACGACCAGGGTAACCGAACGACCCCTTCATACGTCGCCTTCAACGACACCGAGCGTCTGATCGGTGATGCCGCCAAGAACCAGGTCACCAAGAACCCTGAGAACACAGTCTTTGACGCCAAGCGATTGATTGGCCGCAAGTTTTCCGACGCCGATGTCCAGGCCGACATAAAGCACTTCCCCTTCAAGGTCATCGATAAGGGTGGTAAGCCCGCTATCGAGGTCACCTACATGGGCGAGGTCAAGACCTTTACACCTGAGGAAATCTCATCCATGATTCTCATGAAGATGCGCGAGACTGCAGAGGCTTTCATTGGCGAGACTGTCACCAATGCCGTCATCACCGTCCCTGCCTACTTCAACGACTCCCAGCGTCAAGCTACCAAGGATGCTGGCCTTATTGCCGGCCTGAACGTCCTGCGAATCATCAACGAGCCCACTGCCGCTGCTATCGCCTATGGCTTCGACAAGATTCGTCCCGAAGACAAGGACAAGGATGATATTCCCGAGCGCAACATTCTCATCTTTGATCTCGGTGGTGGTACCTTTGATGTTTCCCTCCTCGCCGTCGCTGGAGGTGTCTTTGAAGTCAAGTCCACCGCTGGTGACACCCACTTGGGTGGTGAGGACTTTGACAATAGACTGGTGAACCACTTTGTCAACGAGTTTAAACGCAAGCACAAGAAAGGTAAGAGCGCTTTTTGAACATTATTCGACCTTGACATCCTTGAAGAAAAACACCAAGCTAACTTGACAATAGATCTCACAACCAACTCCCGTGCCCTTCGACGTCTTCGAAGTGCTTGCGAGCGTGCCAAGCGTGCCTTGTCTTCTGCATCCCAGACCTCCATTGAAATCGACTCTCTGATGGAGAACATTGACTTTTACACCTCCATCACCCGAGCTCGTTTCGAAGAGCTTTGCCAGGATCTCTTCCGTTCTACTATGCAGCCCCTCGACCGCGTCATCTCCGATGCCAAGATCGACAAGAACCAGGTTGACGAGATTGTCCTCGTTGGCGGCTCTACTCGTATCCCCCGCATCCAGAAGCTCATCACCGAGTACTTCAATGGCAAGCAGCCCAGCAAGTCCATCAACCCCGATGAGGCTGTTGCCTATGGTGCCGCCGTCCAGGCTGCTATCCTGTCTGGCTACAACTCTCAGACCACCAGCAGCATTCTGCTGCTTGATGTTGCCCCTCTCTCTCTCGGTATCGAGACCGCTGGTGGCATGATGACCAAGCTCATTCCCCGCAACACCACTATTCCCACCAAGAAGTCCGAGGTCTTCTCTACCTTTTCCGACAATCAGCCCGGTGTGCTCATCCAGGTCTTTGAGGGTGAGCGTCAGCGCACCAAGGACAACAACCTGCTCGGCAAATTCGAGCTCACCGGCATCCCGCCCGCTCCTCGTGGCGTTCCCCAGATTGAGGTCACCTTTGATCTTGACGCCAATGGTATCATGAACGTCTCGGCTGTCGAGAAGGGCACCGGCAAGTCCAACAAGATTGTCATCACCAACGACAAGGGCCGTCTGTCCAAGGAAGAGATTGAGCGCATGCTGGCCGATGCCGAGAAGTACAAGGAGGCCGATGAGGCCGAGGCTCGCCGTGTCGGCGCCCGAAATGCGCTTGACCACTACGCTTCCAACCTGCGCACCACCCTCCAGGAGCCCGGCGTCGACGAGAAACTTGATGCCAGCGACAAGGAGAAGCTCGCCGCCGCTGCCGACATTAGCTCCTGGCTCGACCAGAACGAGCAGGCCAGCGCTGAGGAGTACGAGGCCAAGCAGAAGGAGATTGAGGCCATTGCCAACCCCATCATGATGAAGTTTTACGGAGCTGGTGGTCAGGCTGGTGGTATGCCCGGTGGTCCTGGCGGCTTCCCTGGCGCCGGTGGCCATGGTGGTGCTGGTGGCGATGACGGCCCGACCGTCGAGGAGGTCGACTAAATCCCCTGATACCCATGGCTTTCATCAGACTGGCCCAAGAATGTGGAGGGATTTACGGCGTGTCTTGAGATGATTTTTAGAGTTTGCTTAATTTTTTGCTTTGCATTCGCGGTTATGAGCAAGGGATACAAAAACTGGGTGGATTTACCTGGACTGTACTTTAATGAGTTGAATGAATAAAATGGCATAGACCTAGCTGAGTTTACAATTGCGGGTACGTGACTGTAATCAAGGTGAAGAAGGATTTGACAGCAAGCACATGGTGCTGCAGTCTGGCTACACTGGCGTAGATACCTAATAGTTGTACGGAGTAGTGCAGAGCGCAACACCCCGTACCCTGGTACCTAATCTCTAGTCCGACTGAATTTGATAATTTTTGTCTCGCACTGCAAGCGCTGGATTGCGGCCTGGTGTCACGATAAAATGTCATGTCCCCACTTTTCGGTTGCATGACTGCTGGTATGCAGTTTTGGGTGTGGGGTGCTGTTTGGTCCCCGCCTCTTACCGACAGAGCACGCTTGGCACGTTCGCAAGCACTTTTAGACGTCGCAGGCGTTTTTCAAGATATCAATGATCAAATATCCTTCTACACAGGCGTGGGTGCCACGTGGGTACAGGCTGGAAACGCCCACGTTATCCGAGGGTCATCTAGCTAGCAGCTTTCATCAACCAGGCCAAAAAACCATTAAATTTAGCAGCGGCAGCCAGCCTAAATTCCACAAACTGTAGATGCGCCGTAGAGGGTATGGGATCTTGGGGACGGGGGCTCTAGTAGCCCAAATTCTCTGTCTGTGCCCTTGTCGTTGTTACCGTAAGAGCGCTTGCTCGTTCTACTTGCGCAACTGTCAGATAAGAGTGACCTAGACCTGTGCTTGTGCAAGTACTTTGACGTACTATGGTAATATGGAGTCGGACCAATGAATATGCTGCCCTTTGAGCCACTATTATTGCTTGGTACGCTTCTTTGTCTTGGGAGTCTTTAACATGGCGTGGGTGGCCCGCATGGCTTCTTTTTCTGGAGATGTGTTCGTAAGTTGTCGTCTGTGGCCCTCCCAGTTAAGTTGCCAATACCGTTGGTGCCATCGACAAAAGTAATTCTCCTGGACACGGAGTGAGTTTTCTTTTCCATTAGCAGGCACAGGTGAGAGTTATATTCGCACCAGTATCTTCAGAGATGGCCTCAGCTTTTGTTCCGTCGTCCCGATATTTGGCTGCTATTGAGTCAAGACTTTGATTTGTTGCGGCCTGGATGAACTCGAATTTGGGCGTGGGATGCAGGAAGTTTTCCATGCATCACAAGCCTGATTGCCAGAGGTATTTGGAGCGCTTCTTGCACCTGGGACAGGGGCGCCGCTGCCCGGCGGGATTACAGCAGCACTTGCTTGAATAGTCGGATATCATGAGGTCTAGAGACGAATTTGCTCCGGTTGAACAATGAGAATGCAGTTGTTTCGTTTGCCAGGGTGTCACGTGACACTGTCTATACTTAGTTGCCCCCAGGGGCTGATAGCTTAAGATACGGAGTACTCCGTACTCCACGTCACATCACACAACATTTGAAGGTCTCGGTGGCATGTCTCGGTGTTGACCGCGTTGTCCACCGCGTTATTGTGAGGTGGCGTGGTGTGGCGCAGCGGGAAAGCTTGTGGGTTACGGAGTAATGGAAATAAATGACGTGTTGTATCCGTTCTCGTCATTTTCTTGTTCCAGCTCTTCATTGCCTGCTCTGGTAGCCAGCACCATGCTGCGCGTCGCCCCAAAGGTCCATCTCCCGACCCAGACTTCAAGCAGCGGCCTTCACCTGGCACCACCGAGTCCCAGTGATATCGGCGTGCCGTCTGCGACTTTCCATGGATACAAGAAGGAATCTCGACCGACAACACCCACAAAAGGGGAGACGTACAACGATAAATACGTCGTGTTGTATGACTTTGGGAGAATAGGTGTGACTGACCCGGCCGCCCGTCTTGCCATCAGCTGGAAGCGCTGGTAGGGGGGGGGAGAAAGAATATCATGTTGACACACCGAGTCTGATAGATTACGATGCAGCCGCCAAAGAATTCAATTGCCTGCTTGATAACCTGGAAGCCGCCGGGCTGCACACAGAAGTGCGCCCGGGTTACGAACAGACCATTCTTGTTTTTGTCAAGGCACCATCTCAACTGTTGGGCAATACAGTCTACAAACAACGGTAGCTAGCCGCCTCGCTTTTCCTGCGCTGTCAACCGGCGAAACGAACCGACTGCTGACGAAAAAAGAGTCAAGGACTGGCTGTATGCCATTACCCAGTCCCACCCCGGCGGCGACAAACACACGGTCGTAAAGGCCTGGTTCGAAGCTGAAGATGTCCTCGCCCTGCACCATCTCATTCTCTGGCCCAAAGATTTGGGCGGTGCCGGCATCACGCCACAAGTCGGCGAGTGGGAAAACGTCAAGGCCATCTTCCCACTGCACAACGAGCCCGCGAACCAGTCTATACTCCGCCACCTGAGTAGGACCATCGTGTTGACGGCCGAGGACTTTGACAAGATTCGAAATTTACACGGGTCCAAGATTGCCTTTTACTTTGCATTTATCCAGACCTACCTCACCTTTCTGACGTTTCCCGCCATCACTGGTGTTTTCACATGGCTGTTTCTCCCCAAGTACTCTCTCGCGTATGCCATCTTGACTGGCGTTTGGTGCACCGTCTTCCTCGAGTACTGGAAAATCCAGGAGATTGACCTCAGCATGCGCTGGATGGTACGAGGCGTCAACAAGGTCAAGATTAACCGGCCGGCGTTCAAGTATGACAAGATTATTGTGGATGAGAACGGTCGGACCAAGCATTACTTTCCCAAGTGGAAGCAGATTGCCCGTCAGCTGCTTCAGATTCCCTTTATCATTCTGGCCGCCATTGCCCTTGGACTCATGATCTGTTCCGTCTTTGTAGTAGAAGTTTTGATATGCGAGACTTACGAGGGCCCTCATCAGTTTTACTTGGTAGGCATGACACTGTCCGGACAAGGTAGTATCGCACGTGTGGGAGGCACGCTTGACTGACGCGACTTGACGCACAGGAGTACGTCCCTACGATATTGCTGGCAGTGGCCATTCCGCGAATATCATCGTCGCTCGAGGGCATTGCGACTGCATTGACCGAGTACGAAAACCACAGGACTGCAGATGAACACGAAATGTCGTTGACGCAGAAGCTCTTCGTCCTCAGCATCATTACGAACTACCTCCCCATTCTGCTCACGGCATTCGTCTACGTCCCATTTGGCGACGTCATAATTCCTCGTGTGAAGCAACTCATTGTAAACTTTTTCCCAAAATTCGCCGCCAAGCTGGTGTTTCGTCCCTTTGCCTCCGACACGGACCGGCTCCGCAACGAAGTCATTGCCTTGACCGTGACGGGACAACTGTCTGATTTCTTCGAGGAGAATATCCTGCCCCTCATCAAGTACAAGTTTAGCGACTGGTATCGCGAGTACCGTCGAGCCTACACCAAGGACACCATGCTCCTGACGCTGGTCTCTGACGATGCCGGCGAAGCCGATTATCTGAAGCGCGTCCGGAACCAAGCGACACGCTCCCAGTACAATGTGCAAGACGACATTGCGGAGCTTGTCCTTCAGTTTGGCTACCTGGCCTTGTTCTCGCCCGTCTGGCCGCTGATATCCATGGGGTTCCTCATAAACAACTGGATCGAGCTTCGGTCCGACTTTGCCAAGATCTGCATCGAACACCGACGACCTGCCCCGACGCGGGCCGACGGAATCGGTCCCTGGGTGACGGCGCTGGAAACGTTGACCCTGCTGGGAAGCATATCCACCGCGGCCATTGTTCATCTTTTCGGAACCGACACCATTGGCGCGGGGGGCTGGACGACGCTGCCCATCACGATATTCGTCAGCGAGCACCTGCTGCTCATGCTGCGAGCGTTGACGCGATGGATCTTTGAGCGCTACGGGTCCGAGCAGATTCGCAAGGAGCGCCACGAGAGATATGCTCGCCGCCTGCACTATCTCGAAGAGATTGAGGCAAACAAACGAGCAGGCGTCAACCTCAGCCCTGCTGAGAGAGAACGCCGAAAGTCGGTGCTCGTCGCCAGCTCTGGCAGCTTTTGGACCAGGCAGGTCGACGAGGGGAGCAGTGCCGCAGCAGGGCTGAGGCTGATTAATCTCGCGCGACAATGGAAGAAGAGCCAGAGCAGTGAGACAAAGGTGGATTAGACTAACAGAGCATGTGGAACATGTAAAGGTATGTTTTCAACTTTTAATGGCTGTAAACTAACAAAGACGCCGGTCTCGGGGGACAAAAAGAATAAGGGGGTTCTGAATTTTGCATTGCCATTTTGGTAGTTGGACTGTTTTGTAACATCATAGCTGCGCTAGACAAAGAGCCGTCCTGAATACACAGACTTTTCACTTGGTCACGCTCACCTGGCTCATCGAGGTCGTTTCATCTTCCAAAAACACCCTCAGCTTGTTGTCGAGCCACTCTAGATCCTCCGGGTTCAGTCCCGGCCCGCCCGCCCTGGCAGTCGTCAGTATTCAGCTACCGCACCAGACTCTTTCTTCTCCCATTGACTCACCAGTGTCCCCAGATGGACGGAAACGGAATGCACTTGCCGACCCCCTCCGACATGCACTGCACCTCGTACTCCGAGTCCTCGGGGGTAAAGTACAAGTCCTCCCGGCCCGGCAGGACGAGCATCCTGGCCTTGATGCTCCGCATGGCCAGCTCAAAGTCCTTGTTGTACGGCTCCTGGTCGGAGCAGTCGGCCGCCTGCCACGCCGCCAGCATGAGCAGCAGGTTCTCGGGGTCTACACATGTACGCCGTCAGCGAGGGACAGAACAGCCGGTCCGCGCAGAGCCGCACGCACCTTTTGAAAGAGCCCACTTCTCCCAGAAGCCCTGCATAAAGTCCTCGAGCGACCTGTACCGCAGCGCCGTCTCGTACACCCTCTGCCGGTAAAAGGCCTGGCTGAACCCCCAGCCGGCGTAGACGCGGCCAAAGGCCTTGAGCCCGGCGGCCCTCTCGGGCTCGGTCCACGCGCGCTGCTCGCCGGCCGGCGTG